TATGAAGGAGTTGGTGAGAAATACTAGTAGGATTGTCAGGCAGTACTAGTGTCAGAGACTAGTTGAGAGTGACTTTAATTATCTCTTGGTACTAATGTGCTTGGTTATGTGGTTTTTCTAGAACAGCACCCAGTTGTCCAGGTGTGAACGAAGAGATGGCAGACATGATTTTCAGGGCTAGAGTTTTTTAAAAAATATATATTTTATTGATTTTTTACAGAGAGGAAGGGAGAGGGATAGAGAGTTAGAAACATCGATGAGAGAGAAACATCGATCAGCTGCCTCCTGCACACCTCCTACTGGGGATGTGCCCGCAACCAAGGTACATGCCCTTGACCAGAATCGAACCTGGGACTCTTCAGTCTGCAGGCCGACGCTCTATCCACTGAGCCAAACCGGTTACGGCGAGGGCTAGAGTTTTACAAGATAAATGCAGAGCGAGACCGTCAAGACAAGGAAGCCTTTAATGTCTGAGTGTGAGTGGTTGGAGAGCTGGACCAAAGAATCGAAGCTGGGTGTGTAGGGAGGTAAAGAGAGGACATGATAGCCAAACCGGTTTGGCTCAGTGGATAGAGCATCGGCCTGCGGACTGAAGGGTCCCAGGTTCGATTCCGGTCAAGGGCATGTACCTTGGTTGCGGGCACATCCCCAGTGGGAGGTGTGCAGGAGGCAGCTGGTTGATGTTTCTCTCTCATCGATGTTTCTAACTCTCTATCCCTCTCCCTTTCTCTCTTTAAAAAATCAATAAAAATATATTTTAAAAAAAGAGAGGACATGATAAATAGGGAAAAATCTGGGAGTCAATTAGCAGAGGCCTCAGTAAGGACAAATAATTGACTTATTGGGAGTACTAGTAGCTGGGTGAGAGAACTGGATGGGTCAAAGAAAGTGTTGGAGAGTGGGGAATCTGAAAATATGATTCAGGCTGAATGGCTGGTGATGATCAAGTCTACAGGTTCGTCAAGGTGGCTTAACTGGAGGGAAGGAGGTCACTGGAGACAAGGATGTTAACATGACGGACCTGTGTTTTGAAGGGGTTTTCAACAAAAAGCATTGAAGTCTCCCAGGATGATGGTGGAACTTGGGAGAGAGGATGACCATGAACCAAAAGCCAAGGTCTTCACAAATGAATGGCATGTGATAGTGACAGCCTGGGATTGGTGGAATCAGATGGTATTTCTTTCATCTTGTCAGTGCAGGCCTGTTCCTCCCCCTGTGTTCTAAATGCCAGAAAAGGGGTCATTCAGCTTTTACCTTGCCATAGAGCTGCCTGCAAAAAATTTTTTCTGGGCCCCTTGCTTATTCTCTCCTCTTCTTAATCCATATTCATTTTCTTGGTGATCTCACCAAGTGCCAGGGGTTCAAACACAAGCTCTCTGATGACAGCTTCTACATGTGTCTCTGAATGGACCTCTTGAACTTCAGCCTGTTCAAAATCTCCACTAGGGTGTTCACAGGTATCTCAGACTTAAATTGTCCAGAACCAAACTCTGCAACCATCCAACTGGCTTCTCCTCCACTCCTTTTAGAAAGTAAATGCCAACTCCATCCTTTCCGTTGTTCAGGCTCCAAACCTGGAAGATGTCCTTCATGCTTCTCAAACCCACATCCAACCCATTTTCCAATTTTGCTGGCTTCACCTTCAATAGAGAGCTAGCATCTGGCCACTGTCCTCCCTCCACTGGAATCAACTTGCTCCAAGCACACTATCTTCTCCCATCTACACCATTGCCGTGTGACTGTGGTCTGTTCTCAAACCAACAGCCAGAGTGAGGTTTTTTGTTTGTTTGTTTTTTTTTTAACTTCTCCAGTCAACAAAAGAGAAATGTTATTGAGGCTTCAGAGCCACAGGGTTCAGGCAGGAGACTGCCCTGTGGGCTGAGGTGGTCGTGGTGGGAGCCCTATCTAACCTTTTCCTGGGGGTGCAGGTTGATGGTGTGGCTGCACTTCTTGCTGCAGTTGATAGTGTGTGGTGCAGGTGAGTAACACTTACTGCAGTTGTACTCTGGGTGAGCTAGCACAGTGAGGGCTCAGTGATGCCATTCCATAGACAAGGCACCACGTGCAGGGTTTGCTCTTTTTGGATATCAGAGTCAGAGGGTGCAGCCATCCTCCAGCTGTTTGCCCACAAAAATCAGTTGCTGCTGGTCAGATGGGATCCCCTCCCTGTCTTGGATGTTAGCTTTGTGTTCTCAGTGGTGTAACTGGGCTGGACCTTGAGGGTGATGGTCTTGCGAGTCAGGGTTTTCACAAAGAGTCACATCTCTGTGTCTACTGGGGAGACTGCTTGGCTGTCTCATTGAAGACAGTGAGGGCCAGAGTGATCATTTTAAAAATCAAGTTAAGTCATCTCAGCCTTCTGCTTAATTTTTTTCCCTTGGCTTTCCATCTCACTTGAAGAAAAGGCCAAAATTCTCATGATAGTCTACAGATCCCAGGTGACCTAGCTCATGGATGCCTCTGACTCATCTCCTGCCTCTTATGCCTCTCCCCCACCCCTCCCTTGCTCTCTGCTCTAGCCACACTGGCCTCCTTGCTCTTCTTTGAATACACCAAGAATCCCCGCCTCAGGACCTTTGCCCTTGCTGGTTTTTTTCTGCCTGAGATATTCATTCAGATATTTGCATGGTTCAGTCCCTCACTTCTTTGAGGTCACTGCTCAAATGTCACCTTTTCAGAGAGGAGTATTCTGACCTCCCATTCACCTGGATTAAATCAGGAGCCTTCTCGCTCCCTGATTTAGCCATAATAGTCTACATAATGCTGCGGCAACAGGTCTGAAGGTGAAGTGGCTTATAGCATAAAGGGGTTATCCAGTGGTATGCTGGAGTTAGAGAGAACCAATTGTTAAATTTCCAGGAAATTTTTGAGCCACTTGTTAAGCATAGTCATTAAAAATTAAATTACATAAATTTACCACTAAAATTATATTGGAAATGAAGGCAATAAATACTCAAAATGTATCACTTGTTATTTTACTGCATTTTGTCATGTATACATGTTTGTTATTACTGCATATTACTATTATGCCTGTGCAGCTACTTATGTCTCTGTTATCTGTATGCTGTGGAAATACCTTAATGATGTTCTGCTGTGCAGCTGGACCTAACTTCTGGTCCAGTGACACATTAAAATCAGTTACCATGAGAATATTTATATGCCTCTGAAAGCAGTAAATGCTACAGATCAGGGTTTGATTTCTTTTTGGTGTCTGTCTAGACTTAAGAAAGTGATAGGGAAGATTATTTATGACACAGATTAAATTTAAAAATGTGCCATGACTGCAGCCATTACACTGTGAATAGCAGAAAATTGAGGCAGTATTCTAGTATTCAAAAACTTCTGTATGATTCAGCAGAGGTCGCTCACACCATTGATGAGTGAGTGAAGTTCTGACACGTACATCTTTACTGTACCACTTTCATCTCACTAGTTAACATAAATGAATATATTAACCAACATTTATGTTGGAACTGCACTCATTAGTCAATTGCCACCGTAGGTTAATTATGGATACAAAACTTCAGCAAAAATCAAAAGCAGTCTGTGAATTTCAATAGGATATAAGGAATCTCAATATAGAATACTATATATTTTATTACTTGCAATATTTTATTACATTCTCTATATCAATGAAGTTTATAATAAATGCACACACACATGCGTGCACCCATGCACACACACCCCTTCCTCATACATATGTACATCCCCTGTCCCTTCCTCCTAGAGAGCCAGCTGTTAAACAGTTACCACTGGGTTTACTCCACAGGCACCCTTCATGTCCGTCATGAGTCACCTGCTCACATCCTTCACTGTGGACCAGGTGACGGCACTGCCACCACCTGCAGCATTGCTGATTGCTGTGTCGGGGAAGAGGGCCACAGTAAGACACACTGGCTGTCAAAGGCTCTCCTAGAAGTGACATGCACTATGCTGCTCATATGCCGCTGACCATAGCCAGCCGCATGGCCATGCACACCCATTTTAAATCATCAAAGAAGTGTAAGCCTATCATGTGCCCAGAAGGAGGAAGAGAACTGGGACATTGGTGAACTGGCCTAGTGACCACAACATAGCGTCTATGTGCTTATTTTCTGCCCCACCCCCACACTGGAATGAAGGTTCCATGAGAGAGCGAGCTGTTTCATTTGGTGCTACATCCTAAGCCCCTTGGAGACACTCAATACATACTTAGGGAATCTGAGAGACTAGTCTGAAGGAGGAAGACTCTGGAAACAAGCCTTCACGGATTAATGAAGAGGGTTATCACTGTATGATTTCTCCAAATCTTGGTAAGCAATGTGCTTTTACCCCTCGCCCCCTCCATGCAGCTGGAAATGTGTGGCACAGGAAATCACATAGATGTATACGGCTCTGTGACATTAGAAAAGGCCCAGGGCCAGCGCAAGAACCAGTCCTGGAAGGATGCAGATACCACCGCAGGGGAAGACTCCACTCCCCAAGCCGCGACTAGGATGAGGCACATAGGACACAAAAAGGAGGTGTCGCTCAGATCAGTGCAGTGTTGGGACCTTGTGTTGGACGCTGTCACACACCTGGGATGCCAACAGCACTAACTCCCATTTGTTTAGGACCTACTATGTGCCAAGAAAGTGCTACACTGGCTTTCAGTGCCTTATTCACTAACCAGTGCCTCAACTCTATTAGCTTGATAGTTCCAGTTTGTCAGAAGAGGACACTGAGTCTTGGGGAGATTAAGGAACTCTTCCAAGGTCAAGGAAGTGGTAGAACCAGGATTTGCATAAAATCTTTTTGAATCTGACACCTGGTCCTTCTAAATGAGGACACCTCTGTCATCCTGAGAGGAAAATTAGAAACCATCATTCAGGCATTTGGAACTCCAGACACTGCATTTAACTGACCTTTTTCACAGGTCAAAAAAAAAAAAAAAAAAAGAAAAGAGAATACCACCGGCTCCTCCACATTTGATCCACGACACTCTCCCTGAATTGAAATAAATCCCAGTTTGACCATGACTGTTGTTTTTTTTCTTTCAGTTTTTATTGAACACAAGTATTCTGACAGAATGCAAAGTCAAAATTCTCAGTTAGTACTCAGTATTTACACCAGTGAGAATGGAAACAAAGGTGGTCTCGATGTTTCACTTGGTAAAAAGTTTATAACAAGAGAGAAGGCCCCCGAAGTTGGGAATGCTGGGTAGGGATGTTAATGGAGGTCTGAAAACCGCCATCCAGACAGACAGCCTAGAGTGAAAACGTGGGGCTTGAAGGCTCCATACAAAAGTGTGAAAATAGAGTTCCACTTCCAGAGCTGCACTGCGTACACTGTGGCCCCAGGGAGCGGAGGCCCGGGCGTCCACCCGAGTGCCCCAGCAGGACTCGGCCATGCCGGCATTCATGTGAATACATATGTATGGCACATACACATATAGACACATAGACATTGGAAATGGGCAGAATTGATCCCCCTTCAAAAAATTAAAAAAGAAAAACTATAAGCTTTTATCTCTTAACATAAAAGATAGAACATCTTGAAAATAAAGTGACTCCCTCTTTGATTTTAGAGAAAGCATCGCTCTGTTTTATTTTATATTTTTAAGGAAAGGAAAGCTCACGCATGCAGATACAAATCTATGTATACTGGGAGAGAAGCTGACCAAAAGGTGGGCAGAGGGTTGGGTTCCAGCTAATGGTGGACTCTTGGTGGAGGGTGACTGTCCGCTGTCCTGGGCCAGGTTATCTGAGGGTTGACTATACCTCTTTTTCTTCCTAATCATTGGAACAAAAATCAGTTTGCCTAACCACACCAGCTTGGAATGAAACGCAGTCTCCTTGAGGTATAATGTGGGCTTGGCCTTGATCAAAGCCACTAACACCACAAGATGCAGAACTGATCCCACTGACAACCTGGTGACAGAAGAGCCACCAGTCCTTGCGGACCCTCCGCCTGACACGCAGGAGCTCCCGTTCTGCTGTGTGCTCTAAGAACTGTCTTCAAGGTGTTTGTGCCTGCGGGCCTGTGCCTCGGAACCAGAATTTGTGCGGCCCTAGAATCAAAGGGGCCGAGCGCTGTGGACTGATATCCTCCATTTCCATCCCCAGGAGATGAGAAAATGCAAAATAACCCCACATTGAGCAAATGACAAGACCATTATTTTTCACAGTTTGAAATGATAATCTAGCACATTGCCACTGATCAGGCTGCAGAAGTGTCAGGACCTGGGTGTGGCCCACAGCACGACTCGGTGGTCTCGCCACCCTCACCTCTTGCTGTTGTACCTTCGGAAAGTAGCGCGTGCTGAGACCTGACTTCTGTTTACTTAGCATCATCATCATCATCAAAATCATTTTTATTCATTTTCTTTGTTTAAAGGCTTCAATTCCTTTTAAGAGTAAATTTTCTTTCCTGAATATTTTTTTTCTGAACTATCTGCTATACCTTCCACAACCAAACTATGTTGAAGTTTTATTTCAATACTATGACAAAACACGTTTCACACTAAAATATTCACGCGTCCACAGTGCACAAGCTTGCAGTTCTAAAGTAGAATGAGAAAAAAAGCAAAATGTCTATACAAAGGGCTGGCTTTTCCCTTCTCCCCCCTCCCGTCCCCGTAAAGTTTCTGTATTTCTCCCCCACTTTGTTTCCAATCCAGGAAAGTTGTGTTATGACTCCAGACAGCAGGTTGGGTTTTTTTGTTTGTTTGTTTGTTTTTTTCTTTTGTTTCTACAAATGCTGCCTAAGTGAACAGAAGGCCGATGTTCCTTTACTTCAACAGATTTCCAAAAAAAGACACTCATTCCCTGAAGCACACGTGTTCTTCCGCTCAAATCTAAATTCTGGGCTCAAAAGGAATTGTATGTATATATTTTATTTGGCTTTCTACAAAAGGGGGATGTTTGGGGTCAAAACGTGTGTTCACCAAGACCAGCCGCAGCTATACAGTCTTCTCTGCTCGGTCAACAAAGCCTAAGGAACCTTTCAAGAGGAAGGGCAGGACGCTGGGAGCAGAGCCCTTCTCCCAGACACCGCAGGCCAGGCGACTGCTGCTAGAAAGCAGTCTACCCGCAGGGAAACACAAAAGGAACCGAGAACCAAAAAGCAAAACCAGTCCGGAACGAGATGGATTTTCACCCGAGTTGGATGCAGGCGAAAACTTCAACTCAATAGGGGATTACCACTGTAACCAGTCATGGGGGTGACGTTTCTGTGCTAAAGCAGGCCTGTGGTGATCCTCCCACCTAGGCGGTATTTGGAACTTAAAAAAAAAAAGGCAACTACTTTACGTGGACATTGAAATGCCATTGAAGTTAAACATTTGTCAACTTGTAAACACTGGAAAGCAAAGTTGGCAGAAAGGAAAATAAAAGAATGAAAAGAAAAGAAAAGAAAAAAAGAAGTCTGAATACTGCAAATTGAGATCTAGCCCCAGAAGCTGCAATTTGGCATTCTTCCTACGGAACCAGAGTCTACGTGGGAACTGAAGTCAGCTAGAAGGGGTGACGCACTTTGCATACTGAACAAATACAAAGTGAACAGAAATGATAACTTACTTATGAGGTTTTTACAGAATTCAAACTCGACTGAGAGTATAAAAATAAACTTGGACTTTGTTCATCGGTTAGTTATAGTGCCTGGAAGTGTTTCTCTCTGAGACTGCTCTGTGCCAATTGGGCAATGCCAAGTGCGGTCTTCCTGAACCGAGATTTTTTTTTTCTGAGCTTCCTAGATTCTTAATTTGGGGTCCTTTTGTTTGATTTTTAAATGGTTTCAGGGAACGGAGTGTCCTAGTTTGGCTGTGGGGTTAACCTTTTTGTCTCATTTTCTTACAAGTGAGTGCGCAACAAAGGAACCCTTTCTATAAACCTACAAAAAGGCGATCCCATGTTTATGTTTAGTTTTGTTTTAAAGGCAAAAGACACTAGAGGGGTGAGATGTGTGTGTGTGTGTGTGTGTGTGTGTGTGTGTGTGTGATATTGGAAATGCTCTGGTGAAGCTGTGGTGTCACTTTTAATTTTGATCTTTGCTTGGCTGTCGTCACCCATCATGCTTTGCTCTCGTTTTCCTTTGTCTGTGTGGCATCGTTGGGGACCGTCTTCGCTTCAGCTGGTGCTGGCTTCGTTTCTGTCTCCTGGCACTCCGACTTTGCTTCTACAGGGCCCTTCCTGCAGAGAATCGGGGAAACAGCGCTGAGACCTGGGTCCGGAGTAGCTCACCCTCAGCCAGCCCCGCAGGAGGGCTGCAGCTAGAGCAGTGGCCTCCACCCTTGGCTGCTCGTCGGCGTCACCTGGAGCTCTAGAAGCCGCGGATGCTGGGGCCATACCCCAGAACTGGTCTGGACATGGCGACTTTTAAAAGCACCCAAGTGATTCTAACATGCAGTCCAAGCTGAGTGCCACTAAACCAGGGGAACGAGACCTCTCCCCTTCCAGCCCTTACTGGGGTGGTGGAGGGGCAGCAGATGCAGCCTTTCCTCGCCCTCAGCTCGGTATAAACGAGCTGTGCTGGGCTGGGCTCCTCAGGACTGTTTGCAGAGGGCCCTCCTGCAAACCCCTTGCTCTTGCCTGTCCCCACCCCAACCCACTCCACCCCACCTACCCATGCTCAGTATTTCGTGGTGATGCCTCTGTGGCTTGCCTGGGCAGGGGGAGAACCTGCTCTTTGTTCCTGGGGAGTCTGCTGAGGGCTAGAGTGGGCTGCCATGCCGCAGGGGAAGCTGAGTGGGTCGAGTGGGCAGGGCTATCGGAGCCCTTTTCCTTCCCGAGTGAGGCCCAGGGCTCCTGTGACGGTGCCCTTGTAGCTCTTGGTGGCAGCACCACAGCGCCCCTGGCATCAGCCTCAGGAGCCTCTACGGAAACCTAGGTCTGACTCTGCCAGTTCCTGGAGCTGAGTCTGGTCTGAGGACACACTGGGCAGACTCAGACCCCAGCCCCAGATGGTGCCACTGCATCTTGGCACCCCATTGAAAAAACGTGTAAGCTTAAGGACCTTCCCTTGAACTTGAAGACCCAACAGTCATTGGGTACTTGGGAGCTCTGAGTCCTTCCAGCCACTCAGGGCAGAAGCAGGAGTAGATGGGGGGTGTGGGCGACCCGGTAGGGGTGTGCAGGGGCCTTCTGGACCGCATCCTCTCCCCACAGCCCCACCTCTCTGCACCCTGCAGAGCGGTGCTGTCCTGATGGGGACACAGCCCGCCACTGGATACCATGCTGACTGCCTATGGGCCCCAGGGTGGCCAACAGGGGCACCTTGGTCTCCTCAGCTCGCTTCCCAAATAATGCTCATCAGTGCCTGATTGCAAGGGTTCCCGAGGGAAAACAGACGCCGCTGCTAGGATGATCAGGATAAAGCATAATTAACATGGCCTAATTAGTGACAGGAGGCTGCTCGCGCACCTGCTAGGTGTCCCTCTGCTCTCTGCCTGATCCCAGCCCTTTGGTTGAGAGTTGCCTCAGAGAAGCCCTGGATGGGGCTGAGGAGACATCTAACAAGAAGGACACAGCACAGCACAAACGCACACTACCATGGGACACAACCCGACAACAGAGACAAGGAGAGGCCGTACTCGGTCTTTGCTGGTGCAGGCGAGACAGAGCTGTCTGCAGTGGAAGGAGCAAGCTCAGGGGCTTGTCCACTGGCCCCAGCGGCGGGAGCAGGAGAGCCCAGGGCTGCAAAAACATCCTTTGCAAGGTCAATATCTGGGGTCTTGAAGTTCCCTTCGTCCATTTTAAAGTCCTCGCCCTGGGCAGGGTGTGTGGCGTTGACAGAGGCAGCCTCGCTCTTCGGGCTAGTGAGGACCGTGGCTGCCTCGCTTGGGCTCTTCACAGCACCGGGCTGGGTGGGCTCAGGGTCCGGGCCTTTGATGCTGGGAGCCTCCTGCTTGACCTGGGGGGCTTCTATGGCAGGGGCAGCTGCTGCTGCTAGGGGACTGGCTGCCCCGGCTGAGGTGGGGGCTGGAGCAGGGGCTGGTTTGCTCACTGGGGGGGCCTTGGAGGCCTCCCCCACACTGGCAGGGGTGCTGGGGCTGAGCACAGCCCCCTGGTTAGCCAGGACACTAGAAGACAAATTGCTGGTGGCAGGGACTGAGGTCGGGGTGTCGCTCAGGTCAACGAGGGGGGCCACCTTGGGGGCTGAAGCTGGGGGTGGGGAGGAGGTGGCCACTCCAGGCCCCTTGGAAGGGGTGGCCTGGCTGGCGGGCACAGAGTTTGAGTCGGGCGTGGCCGTGGCTGGGGGGGCAATACTGGAGGTCAGGGTGGTGGTTTCACTGGTGGGGCTGTTCTGAGCAGTGGCAAAGGTGTCGGTGATAGTGTCAGAGTTAGCGGTGACGGTGGTGACAGAAGGCAGCATGTCCTCGACAGTGGCTGTGGTGTCAGCAGGCAGCCTGTGGGAGGACAGGAAGTAGAAGAGAATAGACAATGAAGCTGAGACGAGACAGAGGAGCAGGGGGAGGGCCAGGCATGCAGGGACGCACAGGCACGGACACGGCCCACAGAGAGACGAGACTCGAGAGGAAGCACACGCCCAGGCGGGCAGAAGAGGAGACAGGACACGACAGAGAACGCCGCAGTCAGGCTACAGGGACCTGCTGGCCCTTCCTCCCTGCTGGTCCCTCCATGCTCTGCAGGGGACTCCCCGTGGGCCTTTCTGATCCTGCAGCCCCTTCAGGTCAGCCTGCACCACTGCAGCGGCCTGAGTCCCAGGGAACGGGCCCAGCTGCCCTGCTGGGCGCCACCGGCCACGGTGGGGAAATCAGGAGTAAGGTGGACAGTGAGTGTTCCAAAGCCCCTAAGAGCCATGGGTTCTCCAGCCACAGATTTTGTGCTTCCATTAGATTCCATTCCCTTCAACCCCAGAGCAGCCATGCCAGCGAGGCAGTCATTACAACCACAGCCGGACGTTGTTTCTGACTGAGACTGCCTGAGGCTTCTGAGGACGATGCGGGGGGAGGGGGCAGAGAGCTTTACCAGGTCCCCCGTCCCCTCCTCTATTAGGAAGAATTCAGAAAACCCTAGAATTCTTGGAAATCCTAAACAGAGTGTGCTAAGTCTCATTCTCAAGGCTCATCTCTCTCAGTGACGCTTGGCTCCCGTAAGCTACTTTCAGGGTGTGTTTGTGTGACTTGGGAACAGGGTCTAGGGATCCCACTTACGCAAAAAGCCCTTTAAGGGCACCTACAGCCACCCTAATAGAACCAAGAATGCCTTCTCTCCAGGGAGAGAGTGGGTGCCGGCATTTCTTAGCCAAGAATCCCGGCCTGCAGTGCTTGGCCAGGAGCTGTGGGTGGGCCGCACGGGCAGGGTGGGCAGGTGGCGAGGGGGTGGGGCTCTGCTGCAGAGGCACCACGTACTCGGGCTCTGTCAGCGGCGTGGTCTCGTTGGGCTCTGTGTGCTTCCCTCCGTCGTGATTTGGGGTCCGCTCCTCCTCAGTGCGCACCTCCACGATGGGCTCCTTGGACTCATCTTTCCTGCAAAGAGAGTTCAGCAGGTTCAGTCCCAGGAGCTGGGGAGGGGTTTCCCAGGGAAGCTGGCTGTAGCTCAGGAACTACCTAGGCCAAGGGTCCTCAAACTTTTTAAACAGGGGGCCAGTTCACTGTCCCTCAGACCGTTGGATGGCCGGACTATAGTTTAAAAAAAAACTATGAACAAATTCCTATGCACACTGCACATATCTTATTTTGAAGTAAAAAAACAAAACGGGAACAAATACAATATTTGTATTTGCATGTGGCCCGTGGGCCGTAGTTTGAGGACCCCTGACCTAGGCCTGGCCCAAGGTGGGCAGGTGGCCTCTACAGCCAGGCCCGGCGCCTCCCCCTGATCCCCACTCTGGCTAGCTATGTGACTTTGAGCACCTGATTTGCTGCCTTGTCTCCATTTTCTCATCTGTAAAATGGGGCAAATAACAGTATCTACGTCACCTGGCTGTTGTGAACATTAATTGAGACAATGAATGTAAAGTGCTCAGCACAGCACCTGGCACAGGTAAATGCTAAGAGGATTTGTACTTATACACATGTAAGCATGTACGCGTATATGTACTGTATGTTCATGTGTATGAACATGTACATGTGTATGTAGATGCATAGGCATTGCCTGGCACATGGTGGTGCTAAGCAATGCATTTCCTTGCTCTGTCCCTTCTTGCCTGGACCCAGCTCAGCACAGCGAGTCTGCAGAGGCTCCTGCTGGCTCAGGCTCAGCTCCCAGAGGCTCTGGGGGACACACTGGGTCATCAGCTCGAGGAGGACAGGACTTCTCCCCTGTTCTGTTCACTGCCGTACCCAGAGCCTGGGAACAGCGCCTTGCCCAGAGTAGCTTCTCACTAAGTGTTTGTTGCGTGATTTGTGAATGAATGAATGAGTGAATGGCAGCAAGGCAAGTGTGTCTCTCAAATGCTGCCCCCTCCCCATTTCAGCCCCCGCCCCCCAGGCTTAGCTCTGAAAATCCCCTCATTTTGTCCTAGGCAGGGATTTTCACACTTCCATGAAGTTCTAAGTATAAGCTATGAGGTTGAGCCCGAGTCTGCTTTTCAAACAGGGATCCCCCCAAGCCAAGCTTTGAGAAACATTTCTCTAATGCTTGCTTCCCCTCGGGGCCTCCAAGAGGGGGACTGAGGAAGCTCCGTGGCTGGGCCCTGGGCGGGGGCGGAGCCCGGACCGTGGTAGCGGTGGGTCTGCACTCACGAGAAGGCGGCTTTGCCCTCCTCCATGTCCTTGCCCTTGGCGCCTGGCCCCGCCTTTCCACACAGGTTGACAGCGATGCACATGAGCAGGCCACACTTGTTCAGGAAGTAGCAGGTGATGTCGACAACCACCAGGAGCAGGACAAAGGTGACAATGAGGATGCCCACGATGGCCCCGGTGCTCAGGCCTGCGGTGGGGCTGCCATTGGCTTGAGTGGGAGGGAGAGAGAGGGATGGCTGGTGGTTAACACACTGAGATGGAGACTCTGGACCCTGTGAGCAGCAGCCCAGGAGTCGGGGAGGGCCCACAGCCCAGAGGACACAGCCATGGCATTTGAATGCAGAGTGACACCTTGCCTGGTGTTGTGTGTCCAGACAACAGAGTCTCTTTATATCTTCAAGAGGAAGGCGGAAACCTCATCTCAGAGACCAGGGGACACAGTTGGGACAAGAGTGGGGACTGGGAAATGGTCTCCATCTCTGCTCGGCACTTCTGCACCTCCCCCAGACCTGCCCTCGGCTGGACCCTGTGAGCCTGGGAGCAGGAGGGTAGGCGGTGCTCACTGATTTCAGGCTTGGCTGTGGCTCCTGGGAGCCATCAGGGACAGGGTCCTAAATGGAGTGGCAGAGGATTCCCCGGGCTTCCTTTGGGCTTGTGGGGATGTCAGGCACAATAGGAAGCCCAACACTTCCCCCCCCCCCAACTTCCTCTCCCCACTTTAGGAACAGTGTTGGGCATTGGGCCACAGGGACTTCACGATTTGTCCTTCTGCACTGCACCCAGGAGCCATGGAGGCCTCCCCGGCCTGGCGGGCCAGGTGACAGGTCTGGGAATACTCACCATCTGGGAGCTCAGGCGCATTTGGATCAGACTTCAGGGAAACCAGCAGGCTCACCCAGGGCTACCACCCGCATGCACAGGCTCGCTCACACTCAGGACCAATACACTGTAGACGGACACACATTCTCACACTCCCAGCTCCCACATCCCCATCTGGTGGGCTCTCCGTGAATGACTCAACCTCTGTGTCTCACTCCCTTGGAGTCCACCTAAAATCCCCCAGGGCCCTGGGCCACTGATGGCATCGCAGAGGGACCCCAGGCTCAGCCCTAGGGCCCCCCCAAAGCCTATGCTATTTGCTTGAAATGGACCCTCTGACCGCTAGGCAATTCCACAGCGTCTGGGAGACCAGCACTCATACTGCAGCACGAAGAACCCATACAGCACTCTGTCTCTAAGCCCACGTGGCAGCAGTGACCCCAGAATGAAACAGGGGCCCTTCTGCTTGCTCTTCTGGAAGAAGAAAGTTCCAGAACTGGCAGCTCCATCCCACCACCAAACTTGTCTGAAGCTCCTGGTGTCCTCAGGACCCACTGAGATCACCCAGGTGTGTTGACTGGAGGCAGGAACCATGGCCATCCCTGGGTCTCACTTTGCCTTTGCTGAGCACCAGGCCAGGCCCAGAGGCCCGCCAGCACATACCATTCCAGGTAATGGAGCGTGTGAGCCAAGGTAATGGGCATCATAGATGGGGCACACATTCTTCTTTTTATCATGCATGTGTAATCCTGGGGTGGGCGAGGCCTCCTCTGTCTGCACTAGGGGTCCCTGTCAGGCCCTACAACCAGCATCGGTCCCACTGCGCTGCTCCTTACTTCAAATTTCAATTCATGGTACGGGCTTCCAGCCCCGCATGACAGGGATGACCACTCACCCCACCCAGGGCGCAGGGGGGCTCAGCTGGAAGAGACTCCCAGGCTCTCAAACATGTTCTGCCCTTTTGGGACCTTGGTCTTGTTTCCAGTCCTTACTCCTCAGGGCTGTCTGTCTGGTCCCTAATAAGCTTACACTGACAATCCCAGCCTGCCCCCCAGAATGGCCCCATGGCTGGCCAAGGGCTCTGTGCCCTGAGGACCCAGCTCTGGCTACCTTGTCCCTGGGCTCTGGCAGCAGGAAACTGGCCACCGGTCCCTGCGGTCAGCTAGAGAGGGTCTTTTCCCCAGCAGCTCACCAAAGCAGAATAAAGTAATCCACTCTATTCACCACGTCCTCACACATTCCGCCCAAAGAAGCACAGAAATACAGGCCTCCCTGGTCTGTGGAATCCTGTCATAGGGAAGAAGCATCAGCTGTGGGCTTTCTCTCCATCCCAACACTGGGCTGCAGTTCCCTGACATCAGGACCCAATGGGTATTAAGTACCCACTTCTGCAGAAGGAACCCGAAGTCCTTGTGTGTGTGGGTATATGCATTTTAGATTCAATGGCACTAATTCTGCATTCTGAGGTTTATACCTAAACTAGAGGCCCCATGCACTGGTGGGGTCCCTCAGCCTGGCCTGCACCCTCTCACAATCTGGGACCCCTCAGGGGATGTCAGACTGCTGGTTTTGGCCCAATTTCCACAGGCCAGGCCAAGGGATCCCACTGGTGCACAAATCTGTGCACCAGGCCTCTAGTATGCATATAAGATCTTTGGTTAATCTCCCCCTCCCCCCTCCCCTCTGAGATTCATCAGTCTGTGTCTGCCCCCTTGTAGTCAGTGCACATCATAGTTATCTGTCAAACAGTCAAACGGTTGAACAGTCACTTAGGCTTTTATATATATAGACAGTCCTCGGGTTACATCTGACTCAACATATGTCATTTCGTGGTTACATCGCCATTTCCCACTTACTTATAAAAAAAAAAGTTCCATCATTTCGACGTATGTACATATGTGCTTTATGTTTTTTTATTATTTATTTACCACAAGTAAAGGTCAGGAATTGTTATCTTTCTTTTAAATTTTTTTTACTGTTTTACTTCATTACTGCTGTGTATGTGCTCCATGTCAGTGACATAGGTGCTTATGTAGGTGGGTTCTGACTTACGGCGAAAATTGCATTATGTAGCGCCGTAGGAACGGATCTCTGACGTAACCCGAGGACTTACTGTATAGATGTGGTTTCAGGGGACTAACCATATCTCTAAAGAGAAAAAATAAACTCCTGGAGAGCTGCTCTATGTGTGGGAGAGGCAGCGAAGCTGTCAGCTTGTGCTCTGGGCTCAGCAGACCAGCTCCAATGCTGCACTGGTTCTGAAGGCAACACACGAGCTCATTCAGGGGTGAGCCAGAGGGCCAGGAGGGTGAAAGATTTTTTAAAAAATGAAATGTCATTGTTGGAGGTGGTGCAGCCAAGCCTCGGGCAGTATCTTCAGGCCTTGGTGCCTCTGCTCGCTAGTGGTGGGGCAGGGAAGGCACCTCCCCAAACCCAGAACCTGCCTCCACCTCCCAGGGGTGCCCCTGCCCACCCAGCCAGAGCCTCCAGCCAGCATATTGGTGCTCCTTGTCTGACTGGATTCTGGGTCTCGGGGTGGGATGAAGCCGGGTGTCACCCTCAGCTGGGAAGCTGTGAGGAGACACCCAGCCCTGACCCTTGGCTGCCCCCCAATCCCCCTGTCCACCATGCATCTCACTCTGGGTGTCTTGGTCTTTTATTTTTTTGTAAGTGTCTTTTGTATAACTAAATGCCCATGATAGTAGCTTCAGACTGGAAAGAGCAAAATAAAATAACACAGAACAAAACAAAACAAAACAAACAAACAAACACTGTGTCATTAAACCAAAAGTAGGGCAGTGGTCTCCCGTTTCTTTTGATGTAAAATTAAAATTCTTTCTCCTGACTTAAAGGCCCTACACAAGCCATGGACTCTCCCCCTCCTCCAACCATTGCAATTCATGGCACTGACCCCACCCCATCTCTGTGCTCCAACTGCTTGAGCCTTTGTTTCACCTGCTGAACACACCCAGCTGTTCCCACCTCAGGACCTGCGGATCCCTAACCTGGAACACTCCATCCCTATCACCTCATGGGTGGCTCTCTGTTGTCCTGCAAACCTCAGCTCAAATGTCACCCTACCCTTCATCTCTTATCTACTTAGGCACTCCTACCCCAAATCTACCATATTACCTGTTTTATTCTCTTCTCACCACTAGTTACCATTTTCTGTTCATTTACATGTGCCCTCTAGATCTCCTAGCAGATAGCCTATCTGTCTTATGTCTCCACAGCATCTAGGGAACCCAACTTACAGGAAATGTTCACAGAACATTTGTAAATGAAAGGTTGTTTAGCTGGACAGGAGAATGCTGTCTCCAGATGTTTACAGATGTGTTGTGAGAAGGAAGAGTAGTGTTATTTGGTTCCCCAGTGGATATAAACTGTGGACTGGGAGGCAGATTTCAGCTCCATATGAGAAAGAACTAGCAAACGGGTGCTCAAACGTGGTGGTGGGTGTGACCTGCCTAGGCAGCGGAGCTCCCTGCTGCTGGAGGCATTCAAGCAGAGGCTGGACACCCTTGGCAGGGATATTGCAATGCTCTGGACCAGGCTCTGCACTGGGCAGGGCCTAAGATAGAGGATGCCATCAAGTCCTCCTCAACCGTAAGAGCCCGTTACTGCACATTGACCTGACACTCCCCAGTGTCAATCTCCAGAGTGGGGACTGAGAGGGACTGTTTCCTGGAGGACTTAGGTAGGTCCCACCTTTATTCATTGACTCTTGTGATTTTATTTTTATTGAAAAGATAAATGCCTCAGTGTAATGTGTTCCCACCTATAGCAGAACTCCTGGGAGCTTTGTTAAAAAGTTGAATTCTGGGGCTTCCCAGTTCCATCCAATCAGAATCTCTGGGGGCGAGGCTCAGGAATCAGGATCTGATCAAGCGCCCAGGTGCTCCTTGTGCGTCCTAGCATTGGAGGACCACTGTTTCTAGCTCTTCTGCCCCTGGGTTACATGGGGAGCAGCTGCTCCTAAGATGAGCTGTGGAGTCCCATCTGGTGGCCTTGACCTAACTGAGGTACTGAATAGATTCGGAGAAAGCAAAGACTATTAAAGGACAAGGAACCACCCAGTTCACCACCCAGAGCCAAGATTTCTAGAGGAAGTTGGGTACCCTTCAAGCTGGAGAAAGAGTGTGTGCAGACTTTGTAAAAAGAAGCACAAATAGGAGGAATACCAGGATACAGATGAGAGGGGTATTCAAGTCAACCCCACATTCATTACCTCCCGGTGGATGTTACAGAATTGTTTAGAGCGGGGAAGCTAGAAGGACCAAGATCATGTCCTGCATTGTAAGTAACATGTTACCAAAGGAAAAAGAAAAACCTCCTGGGGTCTATCTTGGCAAGCTCTTCCTCCTGGCCTCCCTTGCCTGACTCGCCGGC